TTCGGTTTGTATAATGTTCGACAGCACTTGACCCCCCGTTCGAAAGGTTATTTTGTGAGGATTACAATGGTGGGTTTTGTTTTAAAGGGGGGTAAATAGTCGCCGCGATATTTACATTTGAAAAATTGAATTGTAATGTAATGCGAAACTACTTGTCGACAAGGAGTTTTAAGTGACTTCTTTTGTGTTGTGAAATCAGTTGAACATTTAATAGCCCTGTTTACAGCTGTGCGCTTTATAATACTACAGCTTTGAGATTAATCCGGATGCATACGATGACGTTATATTCTCCACAAAAGTTACGTAATAAGCACTTAAAGATAATTGCATTTGCTTCCGAACGTGTTTACTAGCCCTAAATTCCAGATTGCTCCACTAGTTTACCTTTCAGTTCCAAACTACAAAGTTCCTAATGTTTGAGTAGTTCTGGAAACGCACATAAACGCATTATGATTAAAACTAGAATAATGACATACAATGTATGCCTAAATTATCCACGCACACGCTCACCAAAACACGGCATATATAATATTTGTAAACACCATTGGTAATACTATAAAATACAAGTAATTCTAGCTTCGATAACTAAAATTTTCATTTGGCTTACAAACACGTTTCTGACAATCAGTGACAAAATACTTTGGACAAAATAGCAAAAGAGCGTACATTTACAACACAATCGACCCCCCACAACCCCCGTTTAATGTTGTGTGTGGAAATACCGGCGCAAAATGTTCCTTGGCAGCTACCCAACCTTGTCTTGGGTGGGGGAGGGAGGTATAATGGTTTTATGATGAACAGTATTTGGAAAGGCGCAGATATGTCTATATTATATCATTGTCCAAAAACCTTTTGTCACTGATTCTACTTAAATTCGGTAGACAACAAACTGATACCTGATATCAAAACGCGTTCCAAACTATCTTTGCATTTTCCAAAATAATATTTTTTCGCCAAAAACAGCCTTATTTACAACATTTTGCTGACTCCAAAAACTTTTCGTTCAAAACAGCCCAATTTTGCAGATAAAAATACCGCCTCCGTAAAAAATTATGATATCTGCAATACATGCGACAATATCTTACGATTTCAAAAATTTCAAAATTTCAGCGCCGTGCTTCTTTTCGGTGGCAAATCCGCAAATTCTCAAAAGATACCGAATCTGTGCTATTTTTATACTGTCTGACAATCACGTGGTGTATATGGATGATTAACGGATCATCTCATCCGTAATATTCAAATATATATATATATATATATATATATATATATATATATATATATATATATATATATATATATATATATATATATATATATACATCACACCATGTCATCGTTCACAGGGCGTGGTAAACATAGATATCTTATATACACTTGATAGCCCATCTAATTATTCTGCAATTCAAAAATTGAAGCCGTGATTGCAGGACCAGGTTATTCCCATGAAATGAGAAGATTCGTTTGTTTTCTATTTCTTAAACAGGGAACTTAAACATTAACTTAAACCTATTCCAGGAACATTTTTAAGCTATTCAAATGATGAAAGTTATTGTTGTTTTTTGGGAACTACCAACATGACCGCCATCTTTTCAAATGGGGTAGCCGCTGGATTATTCTTGGCTTAAATTTTACTAAAAGAGATGCGCTATCTAGTGTATATAAGATATCTATGGTGATGAATACCACAAAATGCCTAAATGAAGGATCTTTGATTTCAATACGCGAGATAAATAGAAAAATTGTAGGAAACAAGTTCAGAACTAATGTAAATCATCAATATTGTGAGATGAATGATATTTCTAACTGCAATTTTTTTAATAGATTTTTGGATAGAGGTGAATCAAGCTTCAAACTCTGGGTTTATAAAACTGCTCTGGCTATGTACGTCCTTCAAAACCTTCTGGTTTCATTGGTCGGCTCAACGTACGTAGCGTATAAAGTCACAACGGTTTCGGAACTTGATATAAAGATGGACAAACAGAATCTACATGGAGCGAAGTCGGTCGTAGATTTGATTTTGTTAATAACCAACAACGCACTTCGTTATTTTATCGCAGAATTTTTCCTGTCTAAGTTGTTTAATGAAGATTTGGATATACTGGGAGGGAACTCAGGGAAGACTATTGAAGAAAGTATCGGTGTACGCATCCAATGAGGATGGGATGATGATCGTGTATTTGATGGAATAGACCCTTAACTCTTGTACCATGCTATAGGAGATTTTAATCGATAGACAATAGACCTAATGCATAAAGAGTTCAGAAGGCTTGATGGCCGGGAAGAATGCTGATCTTAGTAGTCATCGCCTGGAATATTAATTTAAACAATTCAAAATGGCCACTAACGAAATTTCCCCGGCCGATGACTACTAAAGGCAATTTTCCATTGCAGTCGCTTTGCCCGCGCGGGCGGACCGAGCTTTGAAAATCTGCTCACGCAGGCGTGACGGGCGTCAAAAAGAATAAACGCTTCGCCCGTGCGGGCAAAGTGAAGGTTAACGGAAAACGGCCTTAAGACCAGCATTCTTCGCGGGCATCAAGCCTTGTGACGTAACTATGGATAAGGTCAATTGGCGCGAAGTAGTGTACATACTCTCCAGTTACAAATTAACTTAAATATCTAACCAAAATTTGTAAGCGTTTGTAATGGTTTGTACATATTGTATCGTCCAACAATAACGCGCGTTGGAAGTTTAACGATACTAATTGCATCAATGCCATAAAGGTTAAATGTACACAACCATTACAGCTCGAGCGGAAAAACCGATGCCGCATTTGGATATTTTTAATGTGTTCAAATTAAGCCGAACCAATCACCAGTGGGTTATTTTTACTTACGTTGCCTCTGTTTCTGTTTTGACTTACGTTGCCTCTGACTATGCTAGTCACGGACGCAATATGTAATTTTGCGAATAAGATACACGTTGTTCTAAACATAAGGATTATGTACAGTTAAAGTGAATATCAGCACTAAACTCATATAAAATTTAAAATTATAGGATCCTATTAGACACTTCTTGTTTAAAACATTTTGAGGAAACATTCAAAAATCATAAGATGTTAAATATGCATTTAAACACCCTTACTTAATATTATAGAATACATGCAATTCCTAGTTCTTGTAGCTAAATTTTAACACCAAAATTTTAAATTTTCTCGCTTCGAAATTTGAAGAAATAATGTCTTACTATTTTATTATTTCCTATAATAATTTTAAGAATTTCATTTCTTCTCTTACGAAAATATTCTAAAAATAGTAAAATCGTATTTTCTTAAGAAAATTCTTACACATGAAGACTAAGAAATCATAAGGAAAATTTTATTATTTTTAGAAAATAGATGTATGTAGTCTATAAATTAAGTTAATGATTTTTTCTTATTTCAAGAAAAACATCTTGGGATTCAAAAAGTTCTTATTTCAAGAATATTTTGTTCTCATTAAGAAAATAATTTTCTCTTTTTAAGAATTTTTTTCTCTTAAATTAAGAATTTTTTTCTTAATAAGAAAATGATTTTTTGATGTGTAAACATCCAATTTTACAAGTAGACAAGTAACAGTCATATATACTTTGCTAGAACATTGCTGGAAGTAAAGTATTTTTGAATCTATCAGTTCTACTTTTAAATGTCTGCGATGGCAATTCCTTTGACTATAGAATCATGCAGAGGGAATACCCGAACGTGGATAAAAGCATTCATTACAAATAGGCCTACAAATCGTTCCCAGATTGTATTAATTAACGGAACCGATTCCTCCTCCAAACTTGTTATCTCTGGAGCACCACAGGAATCTATTCTAGGTCCAGTTTTATTTCGGCTATACATAAATGATATTTCCAACAATATTCAATCAAGTCTATGTTTCTTCGCTGATGACTGTGTTCTATATAGACCACCGTGCAGGATCATCAAATTCTACAAAACCATATAGACTGCCTATCATCTTGGGCCGATTGCTGGCAGCTTACATTTACTGTGTCCAACAATATATTTAGGGGTCACCTTTACTAGTACCTTGCGCTGGAATGAACACTGTGACAATATTTGTAAAAAAGCTAATTCCACCATTGGCTTGCTTAAACGCATCTTAGGAAGCTGCTCTCCTACAGTTGAAGCTGGAGCCTATCTCAGTCAGTCAATCAGTCAGTCTAGTTCGCCCTAAGCTTGAATACGCTAGTTGCGTTTGAACCCTCATACTAGACGGAATTCTGAGAAGATTGAAACAATTCAACATTGGTCCGCACGACTTGTTAACAACGACTTTTCCAGATACAGCCATGTTTCCCCAATGATCACAATTTAGGATGGGACACTTGAACGGCGTAGATGTCGTGTATGTTCTACAAGATCCAGCAAGGCTGCGTTGATTTAAACTCCCCCCCCCCCTGAAGTGTGCCCTCTAAAAAGAAAATTCCTACTTCCAACTCGTCTTTTCTTTCAGCAAATTTCTTGTAACGATGATATTTTCAAATTTCCATCGAACTGCCTGCGAATATCAACGCTTTTAACCCTATTTGTACCGGGGGTGCGCACCCCTATAACTATTTATCCGTCTTTCCTGAACAAATGATCCCATTTGCCTCTGCTTTCATGACTTTAATATTTTTCCATGACTGCGAAAAACGTTCTCTGAAAATTCAAAGTTATCCGAACGTTTGCCGACATTTGGCAAACAAGGTGTCGGGGCCAAAAATGGAAAAAAGGTGGGTTGGTTTTTGGCTGAATCACTTCCAAGGACATAAATAACATAATATAATTAGAGAACATATAAAGATGGATTATTACACATGATTTGCAAAGTAAAATATCCATAATATATTATATAAAATTGTAAAATATAGTATAACATATAGTATACTATACAACACTTATATAATATAAAATACTTATTTGTAATCCCCGAGCCGGCGGCGCGAAGCGCCGTGCGAGGGTACTAATTCCCCCCGGCTATTTACACCCGGGGAAACGAAAGCATTAGGGAAGTCTGAAGTTCATCAAATATCGCGGGCGTGGGTCACTGTGCGTGGGTGGTCATCCTCACTGATCTCAAAAGTATGGCGGACTGTCATGAATAGCGAACACCGATTGGTCAAATTTAAAATTTGTTGTTGTATGACGAATGACGACTTTAACTGACAGATACTTCATGAAAATATTTTGCTTTTTGCGCTACAGTTTTTTGTACATTATCAAAAACATTTGGCAGCTTTAAAAGCAATCAGTTTTATTAAAACTTTTATCAAACAATCACGGTATCAAATACCAATAAAAAGATATGGAGCCACATGAAGTGCAGCAAGAAAAGGACAAGAAAGCCGAACGCCTAGCGAAAAGAAGGGAGCGAAGACGACAACGTATGCTCGAGGAGACTGCTGAGGAAAGAGAAACTCGCCTGGGAAAGCGCAGAGAAGCATGGAAAAAAAAGACTGCTGAAGCAAAAGGTAAGCAAAGGGAATATAAGAGAGTCTTTAGGGAACAGAAAGAAGCTGCAGAAAGTAGCGATGGAAGAGAAGCTCGCTTGGCAAAACGAAGAGAAGCGTGGCAAGAAAGGACTCCAGAAGCTAAAGGTAAGCAAAAAGAGTATAAGAGAGTGTATGATTTAGATAAAATGCAAAATGAGACTGAAGAAGAACGAACAAATAGGCTACAAAAGAGAAAGCAAGACCAAGCAACCGAAACAGTTGATGAACAAGCAAGAATACTTGAAATACTACGAGCAGTTTTTCACAAAGCAAGTTCAAATGAAAATGACCAAAAATCAGATGAGCAGTTGAGTATGTCTGTTGATCCAACTGTAGATATATCTGTTCTTGAAGCAGACAAGGATAATGAGTCTGTACATGAAGCAGAGGGGCCAGGGGTGAGTAGAAATGAATATTTACATGAGGGTGGTTGGCAAAATGTTGACAACCCTCTGCATGAGCTAGAGTTTGTACAAAATGAAATGAACAGTTTTCATTTAGATCAAGAACATTTAGAGCATCGACAATGTACAATGTGTAAAGAAGCTTGGCCGACACGACAGAACTTAGCATCAGAAGTATACATTTGTTACCGGTGTAAAAGAGACAAGAAATCACCCAAGAAATTCAGTGCGGAGAATGACATGGATCCAGGAATAGTTCCTGAACAATTGACAGGTTTGACACAGGTAGAAGAAATGTTAATTTCAAGGGTTTGTCCCATTATGAGAGTGTATAGAAAACATGGGGGTCAGAGGGGGTATAAAGGACATGTACTTAACGTACCACAAGATATTCAAAGTTTCTTGAATAGGTTGCCTTCTCGTGTGGCAGACTTGCCTGTCTTGATTGTGCGAAGACATGGTGCAGAAGACACACATCGAGACTTTACTGTGCGTCGACACAAAGTTCTTGAGGCTGTACTATGGTTAAAGACAAACAATCCGTTCTTTAAAAATATTGAAATTGATAGAGATGTCATCCAAAGTTTACCAGAAAATGGTATTCCTGATGAGCTAAGGTATGTCATTGATGAAAATGAGCTTTCAGTTCATGTTGAAAATGAGGGGCCTCCCCAAGACCCAGTAATGAGTGCTAATGCAAGTGTGGAAGAGTTAGTTTTAGGAAGTGGCAGTACATCATTTATTCCTATGCGTCAAAGACAGAGAAAAGAAGGTGCGGCTATCCAAGATGCAGTAAATGAGGTTGATCCGTTAGACTGGCCATCTACTGAAGGTAATCTCATTAATGAATTTAAAACAGATGGTTTAGCTACTATGGCCTTTCCTACATTGTTTCCTTATGGGAAGGGTGACCCAACAAATAGGGCAAGACAACATGGTATAACGTTAACCGAAGCTTTCAAACATTTAATGAAGTTTGCAGAGTCGCTTGCAGATGGTAAGTTTGAATGGAGGTTTGCTTCTCACCCACGGTTTCCTTATTGGGCGTTAAATATGAAACAACGGCATCAGCTGTTGTCACAAGCAAACGTTTACTTGCGTCAACATCCTGCTGATGCAAACATGACAATGGAAGAACTGAAGCAGATGGTCAATTCCATGAGTGCAAATCAAATGGTAAATAGGTTGTAGCGCTATGTGTCCAAAGTACAAGGTACGAATCAGTATTGGTATCAGCGGCTGCAGGAATTGCTGGCCCTGATTGAACAAAAAGGCTGCCCTACTTTTTTCTTTACCTTTAGTGCAGCTGACATGCATTGGCCAGACTTACAGAGGCTGTTGCAGAATGATGAAGGTGCAAGCAGATCTGAGCGAGCACAAGCTGTAATCGACAATCCCCATCTGACTGATTGGTTCTTTATGCAGCGGCTGCAGGAGTTTGTCAGACATTGGCTTAATGGCGTCTTGGATGCTGAGTGGCACTGGTATCGATTTGAGTACCAAGCTAGGGGAAGTATTCATTGCCATGGATGTGCAAAGTTAAAAAATGTCCCTGATATTCGAAAATTACGTAATAAAGGATGTGTTGCATTCCTAGAGAGTGAGACAACAAGGTACGAAATGTCACCTGATGATTTTTAATTCCTTTGCGGGGATGTGATAAGACAGGGAGAAGATGCTGAGAAGTTGTTAATATAGTAAGAAAAAATATTTTCCATATTAATGTTTCCAATGCGTACTGTACGTAGATCAAGCTAACTGTGCAGAATCTGTTGTGGGATAATTGTTTCAATAATAAAATTTTATCCTGCAAGAGGCCTTCAAATGCATGTATACCGGCACAATACCGGATCATAATTATTGCAGTAGTTACACAATACCGGACTCGCTTCTCATAGTGCAGGTCAAATATTCATGTCAACTACTGTAAAAAGCGAATTTTGTATTATGCATGTATTAACCACTGCTGCCTATTTTGGATATTTAATAATATGACTACTACGTACTGTAAATTAAAAGGCAGGATAAACTACTGTACACAACGTTTGCCTAAAATTGTCGCATACAACCTGCTTATATGCATGTATACAACCTGAGTGTACTGGGTGAACCAGCACACAACTATGCCTATGACAACGTAAGTGAGTAAATGCAAGTTTAATACAGTGAATAACAGTGTCAACTTGTGTCCTTGATAATTTACACAGTAAAACTCAAGTTGTACAAGCAGGTTGCATAAGGCAAAAGTTGTGTAGTGTAAATCTGCTGTTAAGATATTGCGATCGCCGGTGTTGAGAGGGGAGTGGGACGGAGGAAGTGAAACGGCGAGGAAGCTTCGCGGAATTGGAAAGAAAGAAACTAAAAAAACGAACTTGTTATGTTAAATACAGTGAACAAAAAACTTAAAAATAATAACTTAGGAAAAGGCAAGGATACTCAGATTATGCCTCACGAATTGTAAGTCAGTCTTGCTGCAACCTTCAATTGTCAGTATATCTGAGTTGTTGTAATAGCTGTAATTTTGCTTGATTTATATAGTTGACTATTTCCAAAATAAAGTATTAGTGCAGAAAGAGAAAACAGATTTGGGTATTTCAATGTGATTTGCTTCAAACAAAGTAGCGTCTCCCCGGTTGGCGTAGATGCGAAACAGTCAAAATTCTACAGACCGAAGGAATCACAAGCCATTCGACGGAGGAAGAGATTATTTATATTTAAAGTTTATAATAATACGAGTCATTCAACGATTGTTTCAAGGACAACCGATAGCCAAAACGAGCGACAGACCGTCCTTGAAGATAATTCGTTCATCACAAATATCACTGAAAGGTAAATCAAAGCTTCTATTATTACTGAGCATTTTGTTCGTCGAATTAACGTTAGTTTGAGCAAAAACGCGGGTGTTCGGGGCGCCATTGCTAAAGAACATTTTTATACGGACACGACACTGCTAAACCGGATATAGACTATCATAAAAAAAATAAATAACCATCGCTCAGGATGCCACCTAAAATAAACTTCAAAACGCTCTTAGGGAAGCGAGACAATGCTATACATGCTTTAAAAGAATTGTTTGAAGAGTTTGAGACGGTGTTTGAAATTCAGCCACAATTAAAAGGCTAGAACAAATATTTACAATACTCGAAACCAAATACAGAAGTATCAAGGAGCAGCAAGAATTCATCGCAGACAAATATGTAGAGGGGGGTGTAGAAGAAACGCTGAAGGAAGCTCACAAAAGAATAGGTGACGC